AAGTATATGTGGATTTTAGTAGGTATTATAGATTTAAATAGAGACCCCAAATTTCAGCATCAGCTGCGACAATAAATGATTAGCTAAGTTTCATTTTCTTATGGTAGTGCTCAAATGATTTCTGTACATTTTGGGTTTATACATTTAACTGTTCTATGCGATTTACGGATAAATTAGTCGCACAACCAAATCGGCCAAAGTTTAAATTGGAATGCATCAGAGTTGGCCGGTATTAATTAATAATAACAACTAACTATATTGTAGCAAAATTAGCGTCTGGGCAATTTTATTTAGCGTGTGGATTACTAGATTATTAGTAAAATTTATCAGAATTTGGCCGATCTGCCGAGCTTTGGTTGCGCGATCAATCTATTCCAGTTTATAATGTATCGAGCAACTTAAGCACGGACATTTGGACGTGCCTAGCTACTAGTAAATAATATGCAGTTATTATCAGTAGTTTATTATATTGATGTGGTCTCATGATCTGCATTACGAATTGACTTCACGATCAGTGAAAATCATGAGATAACACTTGTCAATTCAGAATCGGTGTAATGACGCGGAACACATATATATTAATCAAAATCAAACATATGCCATTCTTTATGATGTGACAAAACGTGCCACCATTTTGCTGTAATGTCAAATATCAAGTCAAATCAAATCAAATTCAAATAAATATTATATTCGATTTGATTTGAATTGATCAAATTCAAATCTTTTTTAATCTTTTTGATATTTGATTTGAAACCTTAGTATTTTCAATAATTATTTGTAATTGTTGATTAATAAAACACAATTGAAATAATGTAATTGGATTAATAGTATCAGTTTTCATTTTATGAGGCAATGGTGCATAACCACTATGCGCATGAAAGGTATGTAAAGGTTTAAATTCAGGCAATTCATGAAGTGTAGATTTATCTACAGGCTTACTATTAATTACTTTTTTTTTTCTTTTCGAATAGTTTTACTTGTTTCACCAATTTAATTCATCTGTTACAATTGCTTCACTACTTATTTCGTTTGAACCCACCTACCTGGCCTTTGTTATTTTTTTCACAAATCACCTTATTGCTTTTCAGGTTCGTATTATTATTTTCTTCCTGATTTTTTTCACTTATTTCATAAAGATGGTCAATTTCAATTTCCTGTTCAACGAACCTTTCGCCATGTTGATTGTGCTCAAAAATAGCAAATACTTTGAGACAGGAATATCGTCGTCACCAGTAGTATATGACTTTTTTTTTCCTTTTTTTTTTTTTTTAAAAAAAAAAAAAAATTGTCTTTGCGCTTTTATTTAAATTAAAAAAATGAAACTTTATTGAACTTTATTACCAACAACATTAGCGGCAAATCGATTTTGTAGAAACATTTCTGTTATATATCTCTACAAAGTGGTATAAGAAATTGGGCAGTATTAGTCAGAAATTTAAAATCGGCTACGAAGATCTTTGCTATCAAAATGACCCTCCGAGGCTATGTTGATTTTGTGAATAAAATTAAAATTTCTAGCCATCTAGTTATCCAATTTGAATGAAATTTTTATATTCTATTGGAGATTTACAAAATAAAAAAAGTTTATTCAAATTGGATTACTAGATGGCTGGCAATTTTAATTTTTACATATGGGCTGATTTACAGAATTGCCAATAACTTTTGATATACTGATCCATTTTGAATAATTTCATTACCAAAATGTTGGTCTCGATGAGACGGTTCTAATGAATCCAAAATCGTCAAGATCCAATCACAGAGTCCCAAGATAATTAAGATTTTGTATGATTTTACTATTAACTTTTATTATGTAGACAATCATTTAATGAATTGGGTTTATATATAAAGTTATATATAAAACCAATTCATTAAATGATTATCTACATAATAAAAGTTAATAGTAAAATCATACAAAATCTTAATTATCTTGGGACTCTGTGATTGGATTTTGATGATTTTGGATTCATTA